CAGACGCCCCAGAGTCAGAGCAGCTGGGTGGAGAAGTGGGTGAGATCCCGCAGGCAGGGCGTGGGTTCTCCCACACCAGGCCTCTGGTTGTTCACCAGTTCGTTCACTAGGATGGCTCGAGCAGAGCTTGCAGCCGGCCCGGCCCGTCAGAGGCTGGGGAGGCCTGTGAGAACCACGAGGAGGAGCTGATGGCAGGAAATAGTTCCCAGTGCAGTTGGTAAAGGAGCGCCTAACCAAATCACTCCCTGGACCTGGAGCCCCCTTGGTGGTAGTTCTCCTTTCACACACTAGGGGGCACCAGACAGCTGTGCAGGGACCCTCAGACCGGCCCAGCCTGCTGCCTGGTCCTCAGGACAGATGGGTCAGGACCACCCCGCAGCTCCTTACGGCTCCGTCTAAGGTGGATGGCACAGATTTCCAGACCCCTTGTCATCCTAGTAGCTAGGATGTCAGGCCCAGAGTGCTCCATGTTAACAGCCCAACCTCTAGTGTTTCTTGGGGGCTGAGCTTAACTCCCGAGTGCCCAGCACTGGAGGTGAACTCACATCTGTTCTGCTTTAGACCCGTAGTTAACTGAGATGCCTCCATTTGACCTTCTTCATTAAAAACAGCAGCTGATACGTCTGTGCTCTCCGAGGCGTATTGTACACTGGCTGCCCCATTCAGTCCTTGTAAGCCTCTCGCCAGTTTCTGGCTCTGCACACCAGGAGATGAACACACAGCGTATAAGGTGTCCTCTGAAGGTCAGATGGCCTCTTTCCAGTTGAGGGCCAGGAGCGCCTTGGCCCACAGTGCCCTCACCTCTGGATGTGCTGCTGGGCTCCAGCCTGGAGGCAGCCGCTGGGACAGACCAGGTCCCGGTGCACAGCACACATGGCCAAAGCTGGCAGCCGCTGCGTTTGTTACCTAAGCCAAGATCGGGCCGAGGTAACCGTGGTCGTGGTCAGGGTCGTCGCTGCCCAGCCAGGCGGAAGCCTAGCCTGCTGTACATGACCCCAGCCATGCTGTGGGTCACTCCCTCTGTGTGCCCCTGACCGTGTTTAATCAGCAGACGGGGCTGGGGTAGTGGCCGAGGCCCACCAGTAGGAGAAAGTGCAGCTGGGTCGTGCCGGCCCAGAGATGGAGCAGGGCGTGTCAGGAGCCCACTTGGGGAAGATCTTTTGATCTTTTATGCCATCATCATTTCTGGCCAAGTTTTGTGCTTCTTTCCTTCCTTCCTTCCGTCCGTCCTTCGTTTAGCTTGAGGCAGGCACTTGTCTGGCCCAGGGACTGTAAATGCCGCTAAGACAGTTTGTCCTGACCTGGGCGCTTTAGTGTGTGCTGTGGAAGTAGATATGAATTTTATGAGTGCTCATGGGTGGGTGCTGCGGTGAAGACCCAGCCATGCCCAGATGCCACAAGGCCTGGAGGGGACACTCAGAAGACAGGGCAGAGCCAGGGGCCGGCCAGGCGTGCAGAGGTGTGTCTCCTGGGGACAGCACCACACAGAGATGTCACTGTGGCAGCTGGCTGTGCTTCTGGGCTGTGTGTTGGCAGCCTCCTCGGCATGCTGGCAGCTCTAGGGGAAACGTAACAGCAGCGGCACGTTCTCAGGTGGGGTCTCAGGGTCCCGTCGATGGCACCTGGCAGCTCACGCCAGGACAGTGTGGCCTCTGGCTGCCCCCCACCCCACCCCAGAGCCTGCTGCCCTGGCTCAGGCGGCCAGGGAGAGCTCTCCCCGCCTGCCTCTGGTTGGAGTGACAAGTTAATGCTTATTCCTGGCGGCTGCCCGTGGAGTCGGCGCGGGCTCGGGGAGGCAGTGCCTGCCAGGAACACCAGGCCCGCTCCGTTTATGTGGCTGCAGCTGTGACTGTCGCGTGCATGGTGCTTGTAAACGAGAGGATGGAGAAGGTGGGGAAGTGATTCCTCGTCTGAAAGAGGTGAAGATGGGTTGATTTACTGCCCCCTCTGCTTTTTCTCAGCTAACTCGTCTGTGTGGGAAAGAAAAGAATCTTAGCATTCCAGAACCATTTCTGGTGTTTAAGATTTCAGCTCGTTTAGTCCCAGATCTGAACTTCGCACACGTAGGGCCCTGCCTGTCCCCCAACCCGCCCGCCAGTTTTAAATGTTTCCAAATGTGATTCTGTCCTAGGAGAGACACTACACTTCTGACAGTCTGCTGTTCCATAGCGTGACAGCATTTTTTTTTTTTTTAGGTTTATTTTTTATTTATTTGAGAGGCAGAGCTAGAGACATTTTCCATCCGCTCGCCTACTTCCCTAATGGCTGCAGTGGCTAGGGGTGCACCAGTCTGAAGCCAGGAGCCTGGAACTCTTTCCATGTCTCCCGTATGTGTGCAGAAGCCAATACCAGGGAACTGGATCAGAAGTGGAACAGCCAGGACTTGAACTGGCACCCAGAATGGATGCTGGGGTCCCAGGTGGAGGAGGTTTGCCATGCTGTACCATGGGGTGGCCCTATGTGATGGCATTTTCAAGTTAAGGTTGTGTCTACAGGGCAGGCGTCTCCTCGCCTGGGGTCCATCTGTCCAAGGAGTTCCCTAAGGCTCCGTTTGCTGAACTCTGTTGGCCTCCGTGCAGGTGGGCTTGGTGTACCTGGGCAGCACACCGTCTCACTGCTGTGGTACCGAACTACACACGGGGGGTGCTCCCTCCTCTGTGAGTAGGCACAGCGGTGATCGGGAGGGTCTGGGTGAGGGCAGCACTGCGTTGCCTGGTGTGGTGCTGCAAACCCGTTTTTACCCTGGGCCTCACACTGAATCTCTTCCCCAGCCCAAGAAATAGGCCCTGTGGGGGTTACAGAGTCCACGAGTGCCAGCGGGACTCAATTCTAGCCAGTCCATGCCCAGGTGTGTGTGTGTGCATAATGGGAGACGGGTATGGGGGGCTGGCTGAGCTTTGTGTGTTGGGCCCAGAGATCCCAGCACACCTGCTGGCCAGGCAGACCACCCGGCCTGCCAAGCTCTGGCCTGCCCCTTCACCTGAGCAGGAGCACCCACGAGGCCCTGGGCAGTGTCCAGGTGGGCCAGGCCTTGGCCTCCCCGTGTGGAGGCCATTTGAGCCTCTTTCCACCCTCTGCGGCACCTGCTGTGTTCCTGCAGCGAGCCCCGCCTCAGTGGGCGCTGCTTAGCGGTAGCTCCTAGCCGCACGGGGAAGTCGTGCAGCCCAGCAGGGGACTCTCTTGGAGGGAGCCCCCAGTGTGTGTGGTTTCAGCCCTGGCGTTTGCTGTCTTTAATTTGTGTGTCCTATTCTCCTGGGGCGGTTTATTTTCACCATGATGCAAATACGCAGAGGCAATAATGATTTTTGCCCACCGCCCTCAGTCGTTTGTTAGCGGACTGAACACGTCCGGCCGCTTTTCCTCTTTGTGTGTGAGGGAAGGCGCTGGGAGGGCATCCTGTCTGCGTGGCTTCTGTGGTTTCCTGTGTGTCTGAGGAGCCAGGGCGGGCGGTGGAGGGAGCCTGCCGATGCAGGGTGGTGAGCTGCCCAAGGCTGTGCGGATCCCACAGAAGGACACGGTGCCGCGTGGATGGAGCGCAGCCTGTGACCCTCTCGCAAGGGCCTTGCCACACCACACTAGGAAAAGTCAGCCTCTTTGGGTGGCGGCGTTTCTCTTGGGCCAAACTGTCTTTGAAAAATTGCGAAATAAAATCTTTCTCAGTGGCCGCGCTAGCCGATGAGCTTCTTCCCGGTTTCCTGCTGGAAATGTGATGATCCTTTGCAGTCCCCATGCTCGGTTCTCGGTTCTGGCTGTATGAATTCAGATAGCAAAGATGGTCCCGTCAGAGATCTCAGAGAACGAGCAGCAGGAATCGCCACGTGTGCCCGAGGTTCCACTGCTGGTGTCTGAGTGCCCACAGCGAACCACCTGCTCACCTGGGAACTGGCCTGTGCGGGATTGACACTGGGTCCCAGGCCTGTGTCTGGTGGGGGGGTGCTTTGTGGTCGTTTTGGCCAGGTAAGACTTTATTTGGGAGGGAGGGAGTTGGTTTCGTGTTGGTAGCAGCCCTGGATGGGTGGGCTGGCCCTGCCCCTCCACTGTGAGCCTGGGCTGGCTTGGGGACAGAGCCGCCCTGCTGTGACCGGTGCCCTCCTCACCTTCCACTGTCAGGTACACTCACACGGTCAGAGGCAGATGAGCGGGCTTGGTTTTCTGGTATGTTGCTGCTGTCTTTCGCCTCCTGGGAACTTGCGGGTTAAAAGACAGCTGCCTGTCTACTGCTTGAATCTGCTGCCGCTGCGGCTTCAGACTCGGGCTCAGCCGTGTGCGGGCTGCGGACAGCCTGCCTTCAATTCTGCGAGTCCGTGTCCTTGAAAACTGTTGAATTTTGTGAAGTTTCTTCTTGTTTTCCCCAGGTCATTGACATTTCTCCTGCCACTTGAACATGGTGCTGTGCCTCTGAAATATAAGCCTTCACAGGACACAAGCAATCGCAGTCCTTATTCGGACAACTCTTGTGTTTTCTGAGTGGTTAGCTCTCGGCACTTTTATATTGTTGGTTCTCCTCCCAGTTGAATGAATCTGACTGAGCTCTTCCCTGAACGCTTGCTTTCCGTTGAAGGTCTTGGGCTGGGACCCATTTTTCCTTGTGCGGTGTTGCCGTTTGGAGGCGCTCTGTTCTGCTGAGACCCTCACCGGGTCTTCTGTAGACTCGGTTCATGTCTCAGGGAGAGGAGTTTGCCCTCAGGGACTGCAGGAGAGAAGCAGGTGGTTTTTGATGATGAAATGAAACCTTACGGAGCTGTTTCTAGAGCAGCTGTAATCATTGAGGTAAGATTTCAAGTGCCAAGGCAGGAAAGGAGCATCGTTCCTCGTCCTTGAATAGCAGCGCTCTGGGCACCGCTGGCAGTGGGCATTCCCGGCACCATCCCGACTCGCCTGTTTGGGTTTGGTTTTATTATTATTATTATTATTTTTCCCTGTGGGTGATTTAGAACTCTCTGTTTCAATCAGCTTGGAGACGCTGAGAACTGAGCTGTGATTTTTGTCTTTCCTGGCAGGAGGTGGAACAAACTGAGGCTGCGGGACAGAAAGGAGCGTGCGCAGGCCGAGGCCGACTCCGAGGAGAGCGACGCCGAGTTTGACGAGGGCTTCCGCGTGCCGGGCTTTCTGTTCAAGAAGCTGTTCAAGTGCGTGCCCTGTCCCGGCTCTCTCGTCTGTCTGTTCCCAACCTGTTGTATGGGGGTTCATGGTAGTTAGCAAGGAGCCCCTGGTGCAGGTCCTTGCCAAAGCGAGGGCAGCTAGAGGCACCATCAGATGGCGTTTTGGCCACATGCTGCACATTAAAACTAGATGCTCACGCGTTGACTGAGGGGCGTGGTGGGCCATCTGTAAGCTGTGGGTCGGTGCAGCGGGTCTCAGCAGACCACCACCGACGTGGCTCAGAGCCATCCGTGCTGTTGGCTTTGTGCTCAGTAATTCCTCATTCCTCAGCCAGGCTAATCCAGAGCTGTTGTGGACGTCAGTGTTTTGTTTCCTTCTAGCAGGATCTAAGCTGTAGGACTTCTTTTCTTAGTGTCTTGCATGGCACCTGAGGGTGTGATCCCTTGGAGCTGACCGGATATACCTCTGTGTTTTATGTGGGTGTTGAGAGAGGAGACCAGAGCAGCACCTGGAGGGGGCGGTCGTGCCTGAGGCTGGCTCCGCCTTCCCTCGTGGGGTGGCCCTGGGTGCTGCCTGGGTCCTGGGCTGTGAGTGAGCCCGCAGGAGTGTTTTCATTCTTACCCCGCCTGGGGTTTACGACCAGCACTCCTCAGACCTCCTAGATGCCTTTGGGAAATGAAACTCTTAGATAACGTCTTTCTGTGTCCTTTTTGTAGCAAGTTTGCCGTCTAGTAGCCCCGAAGCTGTCTGCTTCAGAATAGCCTGCCCTTTCTATTTCCGCCCCAAGAGCTGACGGTGCGGTTTGTGTGTTTTCTCTCCAAGGGGTGTGGTGCAGAGGAGGGGCCGGCTGTTTGATGCCTCCGAGCCAAGAGCTGCAGCCTGAAGCTGTGGCACGGCATGGCATGGTTCAGTTGCCGTAACCAACCAGAGGAAAGACCAAGGAAATTCAAGTCCAAACCTCACTAGTCCTTTATGTAGGAAAACATTGATAGTCTGGAGAGGTGGCTTTTGGTTTGTTGCTTCTCCCAAATGAAAATTAATTGTGGAAAGGTAAAGAAAGACAACATTTGTTGGCAACTCTTTTCATTTCTCAAGTGATTGCTGATAAAGAAAAGGCCAGCACAGTGTCAGTGTTGGACCAACAGAAGGGATACCCAGATGGAGTGGACAGAGGCAGGTCTTTGTGCCAGTGTGCTGTGTGCCTGGGCTGGCACATGCCGGAGGGCAGCTCGGGGTGCGTTTTTTTGGTTTAAACATGACATTTTCTAGCAGAGGAATTTGGCAGTTAATAACCAATAGAGTTCGGTGTTCCTGGCTTTTAACCCCATAGTAGTTACAATGAATATGTTTTCTTTTCCTTTAACTAGGCTTAATGGCACATTCCCAGAAAGTATTTTGTCAACATTTTTATTTTTACCAAAACAGGATCTTAAATGTTTTATGAATATTCTAAAGCTTCTGTTGCTTTCGTTTCCCCCTCTGTGAAGAGCAGGGGCCTCGGCAGAACCTCCGTGAGCGAGTTCCCGGCGTGCCAACTTCACTTTAAACCGTGGCTATATTTTGACTGAGTTTGCTGCACTCTGTGGAATTGAATTAACAGGGCAGATAGTTGTACACTAGGGATTCAGAAGATACAATTACCCATTTAAGTGCTATTTTCTGCGAGATAATGTTTAACTTTTACATTTCGGGTTTGAAAGTTTGCCCAGCGAATGCATTTGTCTGGGATGTCTCAGCGGGCTGACGGCCGGCGGGCCTTTGCCCCGTATTCCCAGCCGTGCTGGTAAGCACCGTCTCTGGCCAGCAGGATGGTGCCCGGCTGCAATGTCTCCCGGGAGTGCCAGGGCGGAGGCTTGCCCTTCCTGCACTGGCACTGCAGTTTAGGAAACTCTTTTTGACTTTCTCCTGAGTCGTTCCAGTTGGCTCTGTAGCGTGTTTCCTCTGAATTGTATGCTTGTTTCTCAGTGTTTACTGTCAGAGCAGTAAGGGGAATACAGCCAAGGTCGTTGATAGGACTGGAACCCAACGGCTGGCGCTGCACTCCCAGCCCAGCAGTCCAGCCGGGTGCCTGGTGCTCACTTCACTTGGCTTCTCCTTTTTCTTCCTCCCTCCTTGCATCCTTCCCTCCTTTCTTTCCTTCTTGCATTTCTTAATATTAGTGAGAAGAGGAGGGTTGTGGCCCCTGCAGGAGCATGTGATGTGCTGTGTCCTGGTTCATTCTCCCAGATGGCTACAGCAGGCAGCTCTGGGCTAGCTAAAGCCAGGAGCCAGGAACAGCATCCTGACATCCCGCGTGGGTGCAGGGCCCAGGCACTTGCCCCATTGTCTGTCGCCTTTCCAGGGATATTAGCAGGCAGCTGGCCTAGAAGTAGAGTAGCCAGGACTTGCACAGGCACTAGGATGTGGGACGCTGGGCCCTGACAGGTGTTTTTGAATGTATTGGGGGTGGAAGGAAAGAGCCATCCTTTGACATCTTTGTACGATACCCCTACTTCTCTTTGAGGACCCACAAGGTTGCTTAGCAGATGTTTTTTCCATGACTTTTGTTTAAAAAATATTTTTAGTACTCATTCCCTTCTGGTAAACCCAGAATCCTGTGCTGTGTAAAAGCCCCAGAAAGTGAGATTAATACAAGGGGCAACACCCGGGGCGCTGCCTCTGTTGGGTCACAGGACCCAGACGGCCTCCTGGGACCCCCACTCTTCTGTGCAGATTCCTCCCAGTCAGGGGGTGCTGTGAGGCTCAGGACGGCCACTAGAAGGCGCTGCTCCTACAGGGCGGCTCTCCATCTGGAATTGGCATTTGGGGAGGGAGATCTAGAATGGGGCCTTTTCAAAAGCTGAGGTCATTTCAGTGCAGCCAGTTCAGGAGCCTGAAACTGTGTTTCTGGGTCGGGGTCTCTCTGCCTTGGCGCTTCGGATGACTGGGGCTGGATATGGTTGGGGCACCATCTCTATCTTCTCTCTGCCTACCAGATCTCTGGTACCCTTTTCCCACTTGCAGCAAAAATACCTCTGGGCATTGCCGCAAGTTCTCCAGAGCCAGCTTGCCCCTGGCTGAGAGCTGCTGCTCTGGGGTATTTCCAGAACGGAGCCTCTGTGCAGTCACAGTTCTGGATTGCACTTCCTGTTTGCTCACTTCAGCTAGCAAACGACTTTCCCATTTCCGAGGCTTTGCTTCCTAATTCTATAATGTGGTGATGACATTGTCCTTGTGGGCAGGCTGGGAGGCTGCAGCCAGAGCTGGCGGGTAGCCACGTGGCAGCCATTGTCCTCTGATGATGCGCCACAGTTCTGTGGAACTTGTCCTTCCCAAATCAAATGGTTTAACATCCCTAGAGACTTGGTTGTGTTTTGAGTTCTAGTCCTCCTCTCCAAGGTGTGCATATCATAATAGCCAATCTGTTTTTAAAGTTAAAAAAAATTTTTTTGAAGATTTATTTATTTTTATTGGAAAGATTTACAGAGAAAGGAGAAACAAAGATCTTCCATCTGTTGGTTCACTCCCCTAGTGGCTGCGATGGTCAAAGCTGAGCCAATCAGGAGCCAGGAACTTCTTCCAGGTCTCCCACGTGGGTGCAGGGTCCCAAGGCTTTGGTCCGTCCTCGACTGCCTTCCCAGGCCACAGGCAGGGAGCTGGAAGGGAAACGGGAATGCTGAGATTAGAACTGGTGCCCATATGGAATACTGGCCCATGCAAGGCAAGGATTTAGCCACCTGGCTAGCATGCTGGTCCTCCGGCCCCCCCTTTTATTTATTTGTTTATTTATTTTTTGGTGAAGAATTACAGTGAGAGGGCGAGAGCTACCATCTGCTGGTTCATTGCACAGGTGGCTATAGTGACCAGGACTAAGCCAGGCCAACACCAGGAACCAGGCACTTAATCTAGTCTCACACGTGGGTGGCAGGGGCTCATGTACTTGGGCCATCTTCACTGCTTTCCCAGGTGCATTAGCAGGGAGCTGGATCAGACATAAAGAAGCTGGGACTCAAGCCTGCACCCAGATGGGATATCAGCATTGCAGGCAGTGGCTTTACTTGCTGTGCCACAACTCTGGCCCCACCAATCTTAATAAGTAGTCAAATTCTGCAGAGTTTTTCTTAAATGAAAAGTAATGATGGCAGTAGCTAAAGTCAGACTACTTCTTTCACTGGAGAGGCAGATCGACAGAAAGATCTTTCATCTGTTGGCTCATTCCTCAGATGACCACAACGGCTAGAGATGAGCTCATCTGAAGCCAGGAGCTTCTTCTGGATCTACCACGCAGGTGTATGGGTCTAAAGACTTGGACCATCCTCCTCTGCTGCTTTCCCAGGTCACAACCAGGGAGCTGGATAGGAAAGTGGAGCAGCTGGGTCATGAACCAGTGCCCGTAGGGAATTCCGGTGCTTGTAGGTGGAGGGTTAGTCGATTGAGCCATTGCACCAGCCCTGGTCAGACTTCTTTTTTAAAAGCTTATTTATATTTTATTTATTTGAATGGCAGTATAGCAGAACAGGAGCGAGACAGAATAGCAGACGATCTTCCGCCTGCTGGTTTACTTCTCAGATGTCCTCAACAGTCAGCCCTAAGTCAGGTGGAAACTGGGAAACTTGAAATCTATCCTGGTGTTCCACATGGGTGGCAGGGGCCCCAGTCCTTGAGCCATCAGCTGTAGCTGGGACTCAAACCAGGCACTGCAGTGTTGGGTGCGCTTGTCCAGCCGGGGACTTTAACTGCTGCACCCCGGGACTGGCCTCCTCAAGTGCAGCTTGTAGAGTTGGTTCACAGCGTCCTGGTGAGCACGTGCCCGTGACGTGGCTGCCGAGGAGAGAGGAAGTGAAGGCAGCGCAGACTGAAAGGATTACACAGGGAGACATGCCAGAGTCAGTCTTTGGGCAATACAACAAAATTATCTCTCTCTTAAGTAGATAGCTCATTTGCTTTAATGTTTTCTTTGGGGAAAAAAAGTATTTTTAGTTTGTTTTTTAAACTTAACTGTTTTTGTTTGTTTTCTCTCAGTTTTTAACCCGAGCATCTTCACGCCATTCCATGATGTTACTTGTTTCTTTTGCTTCAAAAATGTAATGTTTTCTTTTCCGTTTTGCCATTCAGCTTCCCTTCCTCTTTTTTTTTTTTTTTCCTTTTTCAGTGCCCTTCATGGGGGAAGAAAAGAAACTAACTTATATTTTGGGGAAGGATGTTTTATTTCTCTTTGATTTGTAATCCTTACTTAAAAGTTTAATAGCTCTGATCTGGTGAGATCCCTGAGTCAGTTTCTGCTGTACAATATTTTAAAGTTTGTGTTGTTGAAACTTGCAGCTGTTTGTCTTGGTGTTTGCCAGTGACGTGACAGAGTCATCTGTTACGTACCCGTTCTGTGAGCAGGCCTCTTGTTCAGACTTACGTCAAGTTGAGTTTTTCTGGTCAAAAGATACAGTGACTTCCTGGGTGAGCTGTAACTGATCCTACTGTTCAGGTTGGGGAGAAAAAAAAATTGCTGTCTGTCTGCCTCTCTCTCTTTTTTTGGGGGGAATAGAAAAATTAATAGAATTTCAGATACTTAAAGCATTGGAGATTTTTTTTCCCCCGGAAAGAGAATGAATGCAGGAGACTAAGTTTATACTTGTATTCCAAGCTTTCTCTAATGTTGAATTGAAAAAGACTTGAAATAGTTCCTGATTGCCCCATCTGTCAGTTTAATTAGAAATGTGTTAACATTCTGTAAAGAAAAAAAAATTTTTGTGATTTTATGCCCAGGTGATCAAAAATGCATGACCTTATAAATACACTCCTCATGTAAAACACACATCCGGCGTGTTCTCTAACTGGTACGAGAACCAGCCGCATGACTAATTCATGAGCACTTTGTGTTACGGTCTGTACCATCCACCATTTGCCATGTTCTCTTTTCTTGTGGATGTTTGTTGTCGTAGGTACCAGCAGACAGGTGTTCGGTGGCTGTGGGAATTGCACTGCCAGCAGGCAGGAGGAATTCTGGGAGACGAGATGGGATTGGGCAAGACCATCCAGATAATTGCCTTCTTGGCAAGTCTGAGCTACAGCAAGATCAGGACTCGCGGTTCCAATTACAGGCAAGTGCTCCTCTGCAGACTGTCAGTCTGTGGGGCCCGATGAATATTTCATCAGATGTATTGCTGTGGAGGAGGGCCTTGTGAATTATTGATGACATTTCAATTACAATATTCCTTTAATTCTTTTAGTGGGGGACATCAAAGGAAAAATTTTACGAGACAATGGAGCTGTAGGGCAGGAGAAATTAAACATGTAACACTTGTAATGAATTCCAGGCATCGATGATGCTTCGTTCCGCAGATGAGCCCCACCAGTTACTCTGGGTCAATACAATGTCTAAGGTTAGCATCCACAGACGGATTGTTTACAAACTCAATTATGTTAATATCAATAGTTTACACAATATGGAATCTTAAAGCAGATGTATTACCTTTGGTTCCATTTATTAAGTTTTACAGTAAAATGTTTGTTTTGGCCGAGGACCAGGTGAGCATTAGAGTGAGTCGCAGCAAGTCTGGCAGTGGGGAAAGTTGGGGCCTTGAGTTTCGTGTGTCGTGAGGGTGTGTGGCAGCATTTGTGTTTGGGCTGAAGTATGCACTCTGCCCCCTTGCGACCTTTCTGACTTGGCTCTGACCCCCAAGGCCAAAGCCCAAAGAACTGTCTGGAACTGATGCCTGGCCCTGAGGAGATGTTTGTCTCCACTCTTTTATAAATTGAAATGAACTGGTAAGGCGTTATCATTGGGGAAGGGTAGGCGTTGAGTCTGTTCAGTATTTGGGGGCACGGTACTAGTGAATCTGTATGTTATGCTGTAAATTAGCTTGATAGAAATTGGTGTTGTTGAAAAACACCATGGCTCAGTAAATGCTGTGGGGTGTTTCACCCTGAACCGAGGTCACCCACGAGCTGCTTGCGCTTTGGTGGGCCTTGCTGGTGAGCGGTGGGGGTTCGGGCCTAGCCCCTTCAGGCACTCACTGTGCACTGTGTGGGGTAGCTTCCTAAGACAGGGAGTTACCTGCCCGCCCTCCCAAGGAATACCTTGTACCTGCTGCACCCATCATAGCCCGCTGCGCCCATCATAGCCCACTGCACCCATCAGAGCCTGCTGCACCCATCAGAGCCTGCTGCACCCTGCTGCACCCATCGTAGCCCGCTGTACCCTGCTGCACCCATCATAGCCTGCTGCGCCCATCGTAGCTGGCTGCCAAGGCCAGCACAGTGTTCTCAGTCTGCCCTGCAACACCTCGTCTTCCTTTCCTGTTCTTAAGGAATTGAGAAGATTGATGCTTCTGTCAGGAATGCTTGAGTGTCTGGAAGATCTTTGAAGTTCCAGCTGCATTTGTACAATTGTCAGGAGCTGTTTGCAGCAGTGAACGTTGCGTTGCCCCTGTTGTGACAGAGAATCTGTATCGTGTTTGGCCTGGAAAAGGCATGCTAGCCCGCGACCATGACAGAGTGGGAAGTTGGCGTGTAGTGTTTTCCTGTCAGAGTCTGACATTGGTTTAGCATTGAAAGCAGGAAGACCTTTGCTCTGCTGAATAGGCTCTTGGTTAACAACTCCCTGACTCTCGGTTGTGGCTTTTTTTAACTTCCCCTTGCTTCTTCCTTTCCTTCCCTTCTTCCCTTCCCTGTGCTTGCTGCTGTTGGGAAACTCCTTGTGTGGGCTTGGCTCCATCGCGGGCTTGGGAAAGCGGATGTCAGTTCCCGCAGTGTCGTTGCATGTGAAGATGAAATCCCGCTCTCCTGAGTGGTGCCATCCTGCTCAGAACCAAACGGGGGCTCATAACCAGCATCAGCTGTAATCAATTAACTGTCGATGCTCATCTCCTCTCCATAATGAAGGAGTGTGGGAGCATATTGGATTCAAGCCCAAATCGGCTTCATTAAAACAGTATCAGTGGAGGTGGCTTCCCAGAAGGCGGAAATGGATCAGGCGAGCCGCTGAGCTCCACACGGATGGAGGTGCTCCCCAGAATGTGGGTGCCCCACCCCCACTTCCGCTTGTCCCTGTGCTGGAACAAGTCGGCAGCTTTTGCCTGCATATTTTGTAATGTCTCCCCCTTGAAATGAGGTGAACTTGAAGTTTTGCTTCATGTTCATGTTCTAAACAAACGGCATCTGCAGTCGGATGAGATTTGCTTCAGCTGGTGTTGCTTTTCTGCCCACCTCCGTTTCCTCTGAACCGCACGCTGCAGAACTGGAGCTGCAATGTAGGATGGGCTCAGTGCCGCAGTGTGAAGGCTCCCCAACCTGAAACAGTGTGAGACTTTGTGATGCCATACACCTGTGCTGAAAAAGAAGCTCACTCGTTTCTAAAAATCGGTTTAGCTATTCTATTTGAGAAAGAGAGACAGATCTCCTACCCGCTGATATTCTCCGCAAATGCCGGTAACAGCTGTGCTTGGGCCAGGCTGAGACTAGGAGCCAGGAACTACATGGAGGTCTTGCGCGTGGGTGACAGGGACCACCTGCTGCCTGCTGGAATCCACACTGACCCGGAGCTGAGCAGCCTCTGTGGGTTGCAGTTTAACTGCTAGGTCAGATGCTCTCCTAATCTGACGGGGTTTTGTTTTTAAAAGGAGGAATGCACACTACACATGATGATTCACAATCTCCTTGGTGACTGCACGCCGGCCTCGGAGGGGACATAGGTCCTTGCCCTTTACTTAGCTGTCGGTGTTGCAGTGTTAAGCTCCCTAAGTTTTACGGTAGATAATAAATAGTGTTAGTTTCCTTCCAAACTCAGCAATACCTCCCAGTTTGGGATGATCTGTTAGTTAACTTTCAGTTAAGAACAAATACTCCAAGAAAAGAAATGCATTCTGAAGGGCAGCTTTTGGATTTAGTAGTTCTTGTCTGTTGTAGGGCCTGATAGCCGATTTCCGTCCTGCAGATGGAAATGGTTGAGTGCAGAGCTGTTTATTGGCTTGTCCTTAAGTGATCAATGACCAGGCAAGATGAAAGGAGCTGCTGTGAGCTTGGTGATGGGCCCTGGCCCCGCTCCCCCCAGTACATTTCAATGGTCTTACGCCCTTCTTGGGGCAGGGAGAGGGCGTCCAGCTGATGCCACTGTTAATGGATGTGGCTGTCCCCTCGGGCCCAGGTACAAGCCAGGCCTGCTCCCAGATTTCAGCTTAGTATGGAAACTCCTGCTTCTTCCAGTACAAGGCGAGTGGCAGAAATGAGAAAGCTTATGGATGCCACCTAGACGCCGGGCCAGGGGAAAATGCTAACTTTGAGAGAGAGAGAGAGAGAGAGAGAGAGTGTTTAGTGCAGCGACTTGCCCAAAGCACAGGATAAAAGGAAAAGAAGTGTGCTGTGGAACATGAAAGGAAAAAAGCAGTGCGCTGTAGAGTTGTATCTGAATGGGCATTGGCTTTTAAATATTTTAGGCAGTGTTTGATTGGTCGTTTCCTAATCCCTGCTAAGTGCATGTTGATGATCTTTCTTGCTCATACTCCCTGTGGAGGCTGTAAATGAGCGAGAGCATTGCCTCCTTTTAGGAAGGAGCACTGTTGTGGAAGCAAATGTCCTGCCCTGGTCGTGGAGTGTCTGCAGCAGGTGCCTAAGTGTATGCAGTCACTTGCTTCTTGGGGCTGCATGCATTCCCTTAGCGCCGACAGGGAGCTGCCTGGGCCAGGAGAAGGGCAGCCCGGGCACCTGGTCCTCCCTTGAGAAGCCGGGTGCATGCCCTTAGCCCAGACTGGCATGCTTAGGGTCAAGTCCCCATCTCCGCTTCTGATTCCAGCTTGATGCTAATGCCCATTCTGGGAGGCAGCAGGTCATGGCCCTGTACTTTCCTGCCCACCCCTGTGGGAGACCCGTCTCAGAGGGTGTTCTGGGCTCCTGTCTTTGGCCTGGTCTAGGCCCGGATGGGGCAAGCACTTTGGGAATGAGCCAGGGATCAGAAGACTGGTTCCTGTGCTTCTGCCTCTCAGACAAGCAGATACATTGGGGCAGGGAGGACAGGGCAGAGGTGGAGAGGTCCAAGGGGCCTGTCGTTTGGAGGAGCTGCAGTGCAGGTTGGGCGTGCTGGCCCCAGTGCAGGGGTGGGGGATGTTGGCAAGACAGCTGGAGGCAGGCAGCAGAGGTGCAGTGCTGTGCTACTGTAAGCTGATGTCTCTGGCAGCCACACCCTGCTGGGCACACCAGCTGTCAGAACCCATGAGACCAATGAGGATTATGAAAAAAATTATGGATTACAAAATTCATGTACCAAAATCAACTTCGTTTTTTATTTAAATAGCTTCCTACCTCTCCCCCAGGGAGAGAGACAGAGAAACAGCTTCCTTCTGCTGGTTCACTCTACAATTCCACTTTCATGCTTTAATTCACTCCCTGAGTGCCCGCTGTCACTAGGACTGGGCTAGTCACAGCTGGGACCTGAATCCAGGGCCCCACGTAGATGGCGGGCAGATCTAGTCCTTTGAGCCATCACTGGTGCCTCCCAGGGTCTGTGTGAGCAGGAAGCTAGAGTGAGGACAGAGCTAGCTTTTAGGTGCAGGTGCTCTGGGGCAGGCCACGGGCATCTCGGGCCACATCAGAACTGGAGCTAGACACCCACTGCTAAAGTCATCTTTTAGTTCTGTTTTCCTGTAAACCTTTGAAGTGCCCTGGTGTTTCTGCCCTTCATGCTTCCCAAGACTGTGAAGATGGAAAACTCATGGAGTTGGATAAACTACAAAGCTGCAAGTAAATGGGAAATACAATATGGTCACATAAGTTAAGGTACCCTGTGTGGTAATGTCATTGAGCACTAAGGAGGGACATGACAGCATTTTCTTATACTAATGTGATTTTCTTATACTTAACTATAGATGCTGTCTTTTAATACTTTTATTCTTTTAATAATCTTTTTTAAAAGATTTGTTATTTGAAAGGCAAATTTACAGAGAGGAGAGACAGAGAGAGGTCTTCCATCTCCTGGTTCACTCCCCAAATGCCCACAACAGCCAGACCATAGCTGATCTGAAGCCAGGAGCCAGGAGCTTCCTCTGGGTTGCCCGCATGCGCTGCTGTTTTCCCAGGCCATGAGCAGGCAACTGGATGGGAAGTAGAGCAGCCTGGGCTAGAACTGGTACCTGTATTGGATGCTGGCACTGCAAAATGGAGGATTAACTTGTTGTACCACCATACTGTCCTTACCTCCCCTGCTCCCTTTTATAAGATTTATTATTATTATTATTTTTTACTTAAAAGAGTTACAGAGAGAGAGCTTCCATCTGTTGGTTCACTCCTCCACGTGGTCGCTGCAGCCAGAACTGGACTAATACAAAGCTGAGAGCCAGGAGCTTCTCTTCCAGGTCTCCCATGCGGGTGCAGGGGCCCAAGCACTGTGGCCATTCGCCACTGAATTCCGAGGCCATAAGCAGAGAGCTGCATCAGAAGTGGAGCAGCCAGGATACGGACTTGTACCCATATGGGATGCCAGTGCTACAGTGAAAGATTAGTCTTTTGCCTCCACACTGGCCCCAGTTTTTTCTTTACTACCTGCACCTACTCTAAGAAGTGGGATCCTAGAGATTTCTTACTTGCCTTCTCTTTGAATAACATGCCAGTGAACTTCCGTAGAGCTCAGTGTCTGCTTTGAGTTCTCAGGGTTTTGCGGCGTGCTGACCTCTGGCTGTTTCCTCCCTGGCCCCCCTGTGCAGGTTTGAGGGGCTGGGTCCAGCACTCATCGTGTGCCCGACGACAGTGATGCATCAGTGGGTGAAGGAGTTCCACACATGGTGGCCTCCGTTCCGAGTGGCGATTCTGCATGAAACGGGCTCCTACACCCACAAAAAGGTAATGCTGTGACCCAGTGCTGACCTGATTCTGCCAGCTTTGAAACCCTCCATTTCACACGCTTGATTCTTTTCTGGATCTCTGATTATCAAATTACATTCCTGTGCTTCGTTTATTCATTTAAAACTAATATTATTGACTTAAAGTAGAGTTCTGTGTTTTCAAAACCAATGGCAAATGCAGGCGTGACTCTGTAACAGCCTGTGCTGTGTTGCGGTCCAGTGGGACACCTTTGGCATGGGTGGCATCACAGGCCTATGGCATGGGCAAGATGTTCGTAGGTGTCCGTGGCTTCAAGCCCAGAAAGTGGCTACACAGTCACACACAGGCCGAGCATCCCTCAGCCCAAGATTGGAAAGGTGTCGTGCTCTCAGATCCATCACTTTCTCTCAACGGTGACATGGTTCAGGAAACACCTTGCCTCGGGTCCCGGAAAGGGGCATGGGCTGCATGTCAGAGCCAGGCCGTGTGAGGTCATGGTATGCGTGGGATAGAGATGAGTGTGGTACTTGGACCTGGGTCCCCTCTCCAAGACCATTTTAGTTCCTAAATGTGAGTTATCTACAAAGATATCCGTGATGCCTGAATGCAGAGCACCTGGCCCCACGCGTTTCTGGTCGGAGTCAGCCCACAGCGGGTCTGCTGGCAAGTCCAGCAGGCAGCAGGCTGTGAAGCCTGCTTTTGATGAACGGAGTCACAGTCTGCAGGCCACCCTTTAGCTAAGTGGCTCTGGCTCTCCGAGTCCCACATCGTCACGTCTGAAGGCTGTAGTTTTGTTGACAGCCCCATGATTCAGCCTGCTTCTGTGGGTGGCAGGGGTGCGTTGTGTTACTCATTTTTCCTCCCCAGTCTGTCTTGGCATCCACACTGTGGGCTGTGGGCTAGGGCCAGCCTGGAGCATCATAGCCCAGCAGCCCCACAGGCACCTGCCGAGCGCACAGCTGGAAGCTGGCAGGTTATGTTACTGACAAGAGGAGATCATTTGTGGCAGGTGCTTCACTGATTTGTAAATATTTATTTTTATTTGAAAAGCAGATTTTACAGAGACAGGGGGAGAGAGAGGACTCTCATCCGCTGATTCCCTCCCCAAGTGGCTGCAACAGCTAGAGCTCAATTGATCTCATCTGAATGGGGCTCCTCCTGGGTCTCCCACATGGGTGCAGGAGCCAAGGACTTGAGCTGTCTTCTGTTGTTTTCCCAGATGTAAGAAAGGAGCTGGAAAAGAGGTGGAGCAGCTGGGATAGGAATTAGTACCTATATGGTACGCTGGCACCACAGGGCAGTGGATTAACCTGCTGCAGCGATGTGCTAGCCCCTAAATTTTTAAAGTTTTTTGTTTGTTTGTTTTTTAATTTGTGAGAGAGTTACAGAAAAAGGGGGGGAGGAGGAGAGAGCTAGATCTTCACTTCCCAAGTGGTTACAGTGGCTGAGGCTGTGCGCCGCTGTCCCATGCGGGTAGAGCTACCTGAGCACTTGGGATAAGCTCCCTGTGGTAGAGCAGCCCGAGCACTTGGGCAACCAGTGCTGCCTTCCCAGATACATTGGCAGGATGCTGGATAGGAAGTGAAATGGCCAGGATTTGAATCACCTGCTCGTGTTACAGGTGGTACCTAATCCATGGTGCCACAGTGCTAGCCCCAGTTCTGGGGTTCTTTTCTGGAGTCCTATGAACTCCTGAGTGAGCTGTTCTGCACCCCAGGAATCACTGCCCCTATGGGAGCAGTGGAACGTTCCTTCCCAGGCTGCGTACTCAGGAACCCCAGTGCCAGAACCTGTAATTTGCCCACACCTCGTTTGCTGCAAGTTCCCTTGTGTCCCATGATTCTGGCAGAGCAGGCATTTGCATGGAAGTGGATTGGGAATGTCCAATGATTTGGTAACTCAGGTAAGGGGAGATGGAAATCGGCTTTTACTAACGGTTTTTGTTCAAACCAGCCAACGTTGCCCATAGGGAACTGGACACTAACTAGTTAAGCCAACCAATGAAGAAACAGATTTTATTTTTTTTAAAAAAAATATTAATATATTTGATAAGTAGAAGGAGGGAGACAGAGAGGGACCTTTCATATGCTGTTTCATTCCCCAAATGGCTGCACTGGTCTGAGCTGTCTGTACTTGGGCTGAAGCCACAAGTCTGGAGCTTCTTCCAAGTTTCTCATTGGACGCAGGAGCCCAGCACATGGGACATCTTCCCCTACTCTCCCTGCGCATCAGCGGGGAGCTAGATTGGAAATGGAGCAGCCAGGACTGGAACCAGTGCTCATCTGGGTTGCTGCTGTTGCAGGCAGCAGCTTAATGCGCTCCACCACAACACCAGCGCCAACATTTGCATTTTAGAGAAGTTGTATTTGGCAACATGAGACTAATAGCCTGGACTGATTTTCTGGTGAGACTTTGGTTTGTACACGTACCATGCCACCCATTTCCTTTGTTCTTTCCCATCGTCTAATAATATGTCTATCCCTTAGTGCTTTAGGGTGCAGAATCCTGTGGTAGATGAGCCGATGTTCCTGCCTTCTGTCTAGTGAGTGCGTGTGTGTCCCGCACCCCCTGGTGCTGCACTCCCCTGCACACCCTCGGTCCCTGGGGCCTTCATGGAGCCCAGATGCATTGCTGACGGACAGAGACAGGCTTGACAGCTCAGTGTACCTTTGGAGAGCCTTAGGTTCCAGCAAAATCTTCAAGAGCAGACGCTCCGCTGTGCTTGTGGGGAACCCACCTTCTGGGGTGGCCGTGCATCCAGCCAGTCCCGCGCTGCACAACCTTGCTGACAACCGTTCTTGTCGGTGGTCTTATTTTCAAGGACGTGAACTTGAAGCTTGTGTGAGGGAGGTTAACTGTCTTTGAAGTCTTGTGTTCCTGAATAGGCCCCTGGGGAATTGCCTGCTCTGTATCTTTCTCACAGTTTGTTACTACAGGATTCTGGCTATTCAGAACTACTGGATTCATTTCAGCATTCTGTTCCGTATCTTGATGTCCCTTCTGTTCCATTGTAAAATGTCTTGTATCTCTGACAATGAAAGCTGTTAGGCAAAAAGGTGAAAGTTGTACTTTTTATTTATTCAAAAGGCCAGCGAAAGCTCTTCCATGCCCTGGAAATGTCCTTTTTTGTCTTTCAAGCCATGCTGTTGCCTTAGAATAACCAACCAAAGATTAATGCTGGGATCTGTTAATTATTTGTGGTGATGACACATTTGAGAATCTGATAGTAGATCTTGGAGCAGTCCTTATTGGTGGCATTAAGACTCAAACCCCTGAGTCGCATCCGGTGCCCTGCTCTGCCTTTTCTGTGTTGCTCTTGACCTCGGCCCCGTGTGTGTGTTAGATTCTGCATTTCTTTTTTTAAAGATTTATTTTTATTATTTTTTTATTGGAAAGGCGGATATACAGATAGGAGAGACAGAGAGGAAGATCTTCCATCCGATGATTCACTCCCCAAGTGAGCACAACGGCCGATGCTATGCCGATCCGAAGCCAGGATCCAGGAACTTCTTCCCGGTCTCCCACGCGGGTGCAGGGTCCCAAGGCTTTGGGCTGTCCTCGACTGCTCTCCCGGGCCACAGGCAGGGAGCTGGAAGGGAAGCGGGGCTGCCGGGATAGAACCGGCGCCCATATGGGATCCCGGGCGTGCAAGGCGAGGACCTTAACCACTGCGCCACTGCGCCGGGCCCAAGATTCTGCATTTCTTAATTCATATTTCAAATACCGTGTTGATGTCTAACTGGCTGAGATTTCCCTGTCCAGATGCAAGGGGACATTCTGGCTCGATGTAACTCGGCTTTCTGGCATAGCAATATTGAGTACTGGGCGAAAAGAGGAGAACAAAATTCCCCTCAGAAATGGTCAAGAGTAGGACCGATGTGAAAGCTTAATTGGCTAATCACAAGTGCCAGGACTTCAAAAAGGCGCCAGTTCAAGTCCCAGCTGCTCCACTTCCCATCCAGCTCCCTGCTTGTGGCCTGGGAAACCAGTCAAGGACGACCCAAAGCCTTGGGACCCTGCACCCACATGGGAGAACTGGATGAAGCTCCTGGCTCCTGATTTTGGATTGGCTCAGCTCTGGCCATGATGGCCATTTGAGGACTAAGTGGATGGAAGACCTTTCTCTGTCTCTCCTTTTCTCTGTAAATCTGCCTTTCTCATGATAAATAGTGAAATAGTTAAGAGTAATACTAATTATTTTGCTCATTCAAGTACATTATGTTCGTAATGCCCTGTCATAGCTGATATAACTAAGTAATAAAGCTTTCTTATTTGGAGGTCAGATCTAAGAAAACCTAACAGTCCCCGAAATTGAGCACACCTCATTCTTCCCCTCATTGCTTCCCTGCTTTCGCCCTGTTGTTTTCATCAGTTGTGTCTTGGTCGGCGTAATTAGCGTTTTCCGAGTGCACACCCAGTCTACGGCCATACCACCCTGAACGCGCCCGATCTCGTCTGATCTCGGAAGCTAAGCAGGGTCGGGCCTGGTTAGTACTTGAATGGGAGACCGAGTGCACACCCAGCAGTAATACAGGAAAAAGAAATAAGCATATGTAAATTAGTTTGAGCCAGTCTCATTTGATAAATAATCTCGCAGGCCTCTGAATCTCCTGTAATGGTCAGTTTAAAGTGTATTGAATGGAAACCTAAGATTTTCTCTGTGTGAGTTGGTCACTGTTAATGTTCCAGACGACAGTCACCACCACTACCTTCCAGATGTCAGGATGGTGGTGCTCAGCAGGTAGATGGTGTTTGTGAAGGCCAGCTGTTTTCTGGGGGAAATAGAGTGTACGTGAGGATGGGGGAGCGGTCAGTAGTGATGCGTACCCCTGGCTCACAGCGGGAGGTGCCGTCTGCAGTACCTTGAAGTAAAGCTCATTCAGTTAGTAAGGCGGTTGCATTCCCTTCGTGCCCAGTGTGTGGGCAGCTGTGTAATGAGAAGTCGCTTCTCGTCTGTGGCAGTTGTCGCAGTTCTCATTGTACTTTTTATTCGTTTATTTGCTATGTGGGTAGTCATT